AGTTTTCATCGAAGGATATTGAGGCACATAAACAATTCCTGGTCGCAAAAGAGGGCTTCGTCGAATGCTAAGGAATTTCGAACTGTTATTAAGGCTCAACAATTCGAACCCAAAGTCCTAATTATGCATTGTAACGAAGATCAATAATAAACGCTTTTATGATAACGACGGCCACAATTACCATCTAGGTTGTTACACTTCGAAATAGGACCACAGGCATTTTCATTGGGTGCCTAAATAGCCCCAAAGTAGTTGCCAAGCTGGCACTAACTACGAGCAATTTCCGCAATCACATAATGAAGATATCAAGTCTTCTAACTAGGATCTGCTACTAAACCGTGTCAAGTGACTTTTTTTCTTTTTTGAGGGAACTATTCATTTCAATCAACCAATATGGCCGAAACTTGCATATACCCTCTCATCTTTTATGCTTTCATCAATTGACTCATCGAATCGCTTAATTCTTCTATTACTTACGTACAACGAAGGGAATTCGCGTCGACGGGGCACTCTGCATGGGATTGGCAGGTCTTCGGGAAGCTAAGCATAAAACGACTTAAGTGAAGGAGGTGAAGTTGTGATTAGTCTTGCAGGCAGCTGCGCCGACAGGTATAATGCATTTGGTGGGCCTTGGTAACGGTTGGCAAAAGCACAAGTCAGTTACCAGGAGACATACTGAAGCATATAACTAGATTTTCAACAAAGACGGAATATACCTGGAAGGCTAAAATACTGATAAGCGTGGGCATCATCCATTCTTGCTTCCGACGGGAGCGAATGTGCGGTTTCAGCAGAGCATAGCTTTGGCTTACCGTGTAAATGTACGAGTAATGCGCGTCTTCCGATTACATTTATTTTTTTCATAAATTCACTTCGGATATCCATAATTTTCATTTAATGTGCTCCCTGCGTAGGTGTTCACACAGTTTTTCAAAATTTTGCTTAAAAGGAAATATTTCCGTTCGACTTACATTAACAATATGATATTTAAGACGTTTACACGTGCAGTCAAACATCCCTTAATTTATCAGTATTATTTACAACTACCCAACATAAATAATATACATCCCTAATAGCATGTCGATATCGACACGATATGCTCGTATCATCACTTGTCGAAATAGGTTCCCGCTTTGTTCTCGTTGGCCAGCCGGTGTTTTGCGAATTCGCTCTGATTGGCTGGCGAATTTGTTGTGCTGCGCGTGCTTTGTGCGAAGGGTGCCGTTACGTTTTACTGTGCCGTGGCGTGCGCGCGTCATTTTGCTAGTGTGACTTTGTAGGTGTCCACTTTATTTCTACTGATGTTCACAAATCTGTTTAATTTTGATCAATTTGACTAACGTTATGCGATGGCAGAAATCTAAGCAGACGGTAAGCAGACATCTACCTTGTTTGATTTCCGAGGAAATTAATGCGTGAACTGGGAATAAATGTTTCGTAACAGATCATTTTAGGCATGGTCAGGTAGTTAATATGAATATTTGGGCTGAAGTCCACCAGCTACTGCGGAATAACGTGGCTGCTGTTCAATAGCTGATGCATTTCAGCTCAAATATTCATATCAAAATTTGGATCGTGCCTGAAAAGGCCCGTTTCGAAAGATTTACTCCAAGTTCGCGCATTATTTTCCTTGGAAATTAAACAAGGCAGTGGAAAAACTGTAGTTCCTATAACAGAAAACAGACTGAGAAGGCCTGGGGGATCCACCGATGAGCTGAACTCCTCGTAGCTGCGTCAGGCAGCGGCATAAGATGGGCGAAGTACGCGTGTCTGGGCTTTTAGCTAGTACCTGTGTTGTCAGTATGGTAACTAATTACACAAGGCTAAGGAAACGTATTGCCCAGATACCATGCCAGGCGCGTTTGACTGCAACGGGAAGGCGGTGCCATTCATTATGACGCTTTTTTGCTGCCGAAGTAACAAACTCCCAGGAGAACGGGAATGCCCAAGCTCCATGGATGTGGTGGCGTCAGTTATAGCCCGCTTCGAAAGGCGAAATACTGAGGAGACTGTGAAACGTCTATCTTAGGCGGTATTTGACGATGGTGTCGCTCTTGATATAGACCGTAATGGTCGTAATGCTCCATGCAGTGCGGAGTTGTACGAACAGATTACAGATGAGTTACTGCATATCCTACCAAGGTTACTACACACAGATCCTTACACAAGACAGGACAGAGTGCAGCATGCGGACCTCTATGAATTGGAGGCCGCCTTCACTAAGCCCCTAAAGCAGTCCCTGGACGCGGCAAGTAGAAGGCTACAACGAAGGCAATCAGCCTCAGAAGTGAATTGCTAGCTCAATTTCATATATATCCTATATACTTAGGAAGATGAAATTCTTTATTGTGTAAATTTTCGCGACTGGTTCCCCAGCTCGTCTTCAGACAAGGGCGTGCAAAAACAATTAACTTCTAGACCGAGTCTGACAAGGGATTCTATGATTGGTTTAGGTCATCTTCTCGAGATTGGTTGAGTCAGTTTGAATCTGTTCTTAACCATTTTGTATGTGGCATCTAGGTCGATATGCCGGCTAATGCATGCCTCGTCTGAGTGCATTGCCTCCAGGAATTCGCGGCATTTCCTTATTGGGCAGGCGCCAACAATACGAGTGTATTCCTATGCAAGTTTGTGCCCAGTGTCCATTGTGTGTATGGCCACTTGGGAAAGATGGTTGCGTCTCTTTACGGCTAATTGGTGTTCATGTATACGGATCAAGAGAGATTTCCCAGTTTGGCCACAACATATGGCATCACAACTAGAGCATGGGATTTTGTAGACAATAACTTTTTTTCAAGGTAGTCGACCCTGTCCTTAGGGTGTACAAGCTGTGTGCGTAAGGTAGTTGCCGGCTGGTGTGCTACGTGTATCCGGTACTTTTTTAATTGCCTTTCGACTAGTTCAGATACATTCTTCACGTATGGGAGAGTTCATCAGGCGGTTGGTTTTGGTGGCTGAGCGGCATAGCATTGGACATACCTTTTCCCTTGTGTTGCTGGTGCCTCATGTATGGACGTATAAAGTCATGCGGCTACCCATTATGGGAGGACTGTTTGTAGAGATATTTCATCTCTGCTCGGTAACTTGTTTCATCAGAGCACTGGGTTTTGGCTCGATCTATATGCCACATACAAAATCTTTAAGAACAGACTCAAACTGACTCAACCAATCTCGAGAAGATGACCTAAATCAATCATAGAATCCCTTGTCAGACTCGGTCTAGAAGTTAATTGTTTTTGCACGTCCGTTGTCTGAAGACGAGCTGGGGAACCAGTCTCGAAAATTTACACAATAATGTTTCTGCTTCCCAATGAATTTCATCTTCCTAACTGTGTCTCGTTGGATGCCTGTTTTTCAAGTAGCCGGACCGTCTACTTCACATCAATGCGCGACTGGACCTTATCAATATAGACTGCTCCTGTCGCAGATGCTTTTTTGTATGCTTTTTCCATAATTTATCAATAAACAACACTTAAAATACCACTCGTTTGTCTTTACGGTGAATGTGAGTTCGGTTTTGGGTTCTGAGTTCTCGGCTCCAACTAATACATGGTAAAACAAGTTATATGTATACAAGGGACGGTAGTTGAGGTAAGGGATGGGGCATCATAGTAAAGGGAGGGAGTGTACATTAAATATCTGTTTGCTGTGCATGGCGAAGCAAGTCGATATCAGTGGCATACTGACAAAGTGACCAAAGGTGATATCCGGGCGATGTACGTATCCTGACATGCCGATATCCACGCGTTATCCTGTCGATATCGACGTGCTATTAGGGTCATGGCATATTTTAACCAAAAGAAGATATGAAGTCTGAAAGTCCCTGAGTGAAGCTAAATTATGATATGTTTATTAAAATATATTACATTTAGGGAAATTCTCTCGAGTACAAGAATTCGAAGCGATCATGTGTGCCGACGACAGGAATGCAATCGACCTAATATGGCAGCCATCAAAAATAATTTGAAAAACAACACATCATGTTAGATGGATGACATTTTGCCCATTATTATTTATACAAGTGGCCGGAAGGATTCCCATCCAAGTAACAGGCAAACACCCACAATTATGTTGCACACTTTAGAGAAGTGCCATCTCACTTAAACAGGCATTAGTATTTGTAGGCGCGTGTCTATTGAGTTTTGTCACAAAAACACACAGACACACACACATGAATGCAACATGATTCGATAGTCATTGATCCACGGGCATCTGATTGTAAGCACGCATACCTACTTAAGCGGAAGCTTTGGAGATATTGGACCTTCCACGGGTCAGTAAGGCCTTCCAGCGTTGGCGACTTCGTTTTTCTCTGATTCTCTGGACACCACTCAGGGCGATCTTGTGGTCCCACCAAGCATCCGACGCGATTCTCCAGATAATGTCGGGCAGGAGAGCTAACGTGATTATTACTGGGAACAGCAGCCAAAATGCTGGACATCCGTGCAGGTAGTCATAGGTTTTGTAGATGACTGAATATGGAGTAGTAAAGGTCTGGAGGGTAGAAAAAAGGCAGCTGGTGTATCAGGAAATTTTGCAGGTTCACTGACTCTGGCAGCATTCATCAAAGGTTACAACAAAAGTAGTGCATGTAGGCGTAGATTATCAAAATATCTCAAGGTCATGACTGTGGCTTGGCCAGCGCTGACTACGTGTACCGTCATTTCGACCGATCCGTTATGTTTGCGGCACAGGGACTAGTCAAAAGCACAGGCATGTGTTAGTCGATGGACTTTCTTCTAGGTCGGAAAATTGGTTTCAGGGGACGTTAAGAAACTTTGCAGTGAAAACCGAAGTGACGCTTGGCTAGTAAGCACATAGGGGACTATGAGGGACTTACTGATGAGCCGAATCATCCGGAGCTCGATCATGCAGCGCCACGAGATCGGCGAAACACGTGTGTCTGGGCTTCTAGTCAGCTATCATCATGACGAATCACTGAACATTCATATGTTACTGACTGAATATCGGTAGCTAGTGAATATTACGCGGTTATTCCGCCGAAACGGATGGATTTCGGCCCAATTACTCGTCTGCACTTTCGGAAGGACCCTGAAACGTCTTCCTCCGAGGACTTTTGATGCCCAATACACTTCTGGTACTCATTTGTTAGGTACTAGACTGACTACTTAGAAAACCCTGCTTGGAAAGTCAGCCTACTGTATCAGGTTTGGTAGATTCCATACGTGTCTATGGGTCGGGAGGCTAACTTGACCCTAATGTGATTAAACTCATGGCTCCCGGTGGGGCCTCGTAGCTCAGATGATTAGAGCGTTGGCTGTGCTCAAACCTTGCCCTTGCTGTCGTGGGTTCGAATCCCACAGAGGTCGCCGACTTTTTCATAATTGGATCGACTGAATCTCTGGGAAATTAAAAAGTCCAATGCTTTCGCTGCCTTGGGAAGCAGCAGTGATTTGCGCTTAAACTGGTTTAGAATGAAGCAGACAAGCGCACCATCTGTTAGGTCCTTTCAACACACAGCATGCATCAACTGGAAAAGTAGGATGAAAACGATTGACAGTAAGCGTTGGCGTGGTGACTGACCAGGTATGAAGTCCCATCTACGAGCGTGATATACGTCCCGGCTCTGAAACGTAGCAACGGGCTGAGCTGTACCAAACCGAGAGTCAGGGTGGTTCATGTCAGGCGTCTATTGGTCATCGTCAAGTATGTAGGAACCTCTAACTGCTTCCACACATGAGAAGGATGCTGCGGTACACCTGGACGTTCGTCCATACGTTTTATCAGCTATCACCTGTTGCCTGGCAGACTCGAAAAGTCGACTGGTGCATGAGGACAGAAAGAATGGATGAAGATGACAGTGGAAAGCCCTGAAGAAGGAGACACGATCGCTGGGCGAAGAACTTTATTAGCCTGACGTTTCGGATTCCTACTCGAAACCATCATCAGAGACAACAGCAGATACGGGTGGTTCATGCAAAAGGGGTTGCAGTATTTATAGGATGCAGTCGCCATGCTACCGTATACCTATGAATATTCACGCCCCCCCCCCTTCATCCGGGACCGTCGCATTTGGTGTGCTAACTGTTTGGTGGTCGACATTCGCGTCGTTAATTGCTGCAATTTCATCAAATGCGTTGGATGCTGGTATGATGATGGCTCGATCATCCGACCCACCGACCCTGGAGTTGGGAGCAGTGTTCGCCTGTGCGATCCCCGCGTGTCTAATTACTCCGCCCAGGCGAGGTCTTAGCACGGAATATGGAAGGGGAAGGTCATTACACTTGTTAATGGGCTAGGGCCAGTAAACCGTGATTCAAGTAGCTCTTGCCTCACGCGGTTGTCACCTCTTGCGAAAATTTCGGCCTCGTCAAATTTGCATGTGTGGCCGCAACTTGAGAGTTAGCGTCATTTCTCCGCACCGCTGCAGCGTGTTCGGCCATTCGCGTTTGGAGTTGTCTTCCAGTTTCTCCGACGTAGTTGCTTTGTCCGCAACTGTACCAGATCTGATAAACGACTCCAGAAGTTTCTTGCCGTGGCAGTGGGTCTTTCGGTTCCATTAACTGACGCCTGATGGTTGCCTCCGGTCTGTGTACAACTCCAACCCCAAGTGGTGCGAGAAGGCGGCTACATCTTCCGAAACGTTCTTGACATATGGAAGCGCTCGCCAAAATTTGGTGTCCGTGCGGTTAGGCCTTTCGCCCCTTTTGCGTCTGCACCGGTTGACGAAGTTTCGCGGATAGCCATTGGCTTCGAAGACCCCGCGAAGGTATTGTAGTTCGGCAATCTTGTCTTCCGGCTCACTGTAGTGCGTTTCGACACGCCGATAGAGCGTCCTCATACAACTGTGTTTTTGCCTGATTGGGTGGTTGCTGTTGAAGCTCAGTACTTGTGTCGTATTTTTCGCTCTTGTCCCAGCGATCCTGTCGCCTTCTTCAAGACTACTTCCTGGGACTCGTCTCTTCGCTTCTATTGGAAAGTCCACTCTTACGGCATATTGGCGCATTCCTCACTATGCTAAGTCTGACGTGCTTAAATCTATCACGATGCAGGATACTTCGGTCCTTCTCACGACTGCAATGGTGCCTTCTTAACGTGGTCCCGGCGACCCACTTATTCATGTGAGATCCGAGTCGTAATAATAGAAACCTGGTACATGTAGTGCGGACCAGGTTGTGTGCGGAACGCGCGGCCGGACTGTTTGACTGCCCACCTCAGGCCGTCTGCCGATTGCCCGACCATCGGTAAGTGAGGAAGAAGAAAGTACGAAAAATGCAGCGTTTGTCTGTCTCGCTATAAAAAAAATTCCCGCCCCCTTCACCAGTGCTGAGCTCCCTCACTGGCGCACTCAGTGGAACGTCGCCAAACCGTCGTGAAATCTTACGACGAATAAGCAGTATGTGAATCTGATTTTGCTATGTAAGCCGCTCACACGGATTTATCCTCAAGAAACAGCCTGTCTCACCTGATAAAGCATCATGAGGATCATATTGGCGAATCCAGTGACGAGCATGCCAATAATTGTAACGCGATTGATTATCCTAGAAGCCACCAGTATGCGCATGTTTGTGGTGACAACTAGGTAGATGGAGATAGCAGTGCCGAACATGTCATTGTCCACCATGCCATAGGAGGTTCCTGGTAGGTTAAAGTAGGCTGCACCATTATGGCTGCCACCAGCGAGGACCAGGTAAGCGGCGTAGAAGCAGACTG